CATCATGAGAATTGAGTATTGAGGTGTTGGTGAATTGTGGTTAAGTTTGAGGTATCCCACATTGGTGAAGAGTTGAAAATTTTGAACAAAATGAAGGGTATAAGAAAGGTGGATTGGATGTCTTTATGTCAAATATGAGTTTTGCTTCATAGGGTTGTTTTTTTTTGGATGACCTTTTTGAAATCTATAACCATAGTTGGAAACCAATCAAACCAAATGGTAGAAATTTTAGTGCAAAATTAATTATATTATATTATATTATATATATATATATATATAACCATGGTTGGAAACCAATCAAACCAAATGATGTATTATTTGTTGAGTTTTAGTTGTCCCACATAGATGAAAAGTTAAAAAATTTGAACAAATTAAAGTGTATAAGAAAGGTGGATGACTATCTTTGAAATCTATATCATGTTTGCAAATATAAAACCAACTAAATGGTAAAAATTATAGTGCAAATATAAAAGTAAAACCAACTAAATGGTAAAAATTATAGTGCAAATATAAAAGTGAAACCAATGATGATAATTTGACAATATGAGATAGTTATTTATCTGTCGTCTTGATGTTAATACTATCACGATTTGACACACCCCTTTAATTACAATCCAAATATTATAGAATGTTACGATAAAGTGTAATATTTTTGTCAGTTTAATATCTGATATGTGGGTCATCGACCCCACTTGATATTAATTTTATTTTTTATGAGGAAAAATCCATTATCTTGGCTTGATGATGTGGTTCTTCATGCATCGTATTGGACTTCCACTATTGTTRCTACAACTTACGCACTCCTCTAATTTTCACTAGAAATATTATAGAACGTTTTTTTCTTCGTAACTTCAAAAATGAGATTTCAATTAAATTTGTTATAAAATTAAAATCATGATTTTGTTACCTTAGATAAGATTTCAATTAAAATTGTGACTTCTAATTAGACAAACTACTAATATTAGTCAAACATTTGTAGAGTACTTTGCAACACGATTCTCAAGCATAGTTAGATAACTTAAATTAGCATATGGTTCTAAGATTGTTGTCAAATCCTCTTAAAAACTTTTAATGTACTCACATTTGTCTACAAAATTTTAGAAGAATACTTCAGTATTAGTCTATAACATTCCTTTTGAAGATGAATAAATAATTAGATACTTATTATTAACTCTCTCATTAGTAAACGAAATATTTGTTACATTTAATATCACTTAGGAAACTAATTAAAATAAATAAATAAAACATATAGATAAAATATTTATTAAAATTAACATAATATATATATATATATATATATATATATATAAGGGCCTAATCAAATGAGAACTAATTAGTTTGTGGTAACTGTGAGAACCAATATTAACCACAAATCAATAGATAAATTAGGAAATTTATAATTTTGGCAATTTTCAATTAAAATATTAATGCAAGGATATTTTTGGTATTTTAAAACTTTCCTCCCTCCTCTCTTCTCTCTCCGGCCACCGTACTCCGGCCACCGTCCGCCGGCCACCATCCTCCGTCCTCCGGTAATACTACAATGGTATCACAATACATCATATATGTGCTTGGGTATCACATTGATGTCGTTTGTGTGGTCGATCGAAGATGTAACACAGTGGTATCACTATGCATCTTATATATGATTAGGTATCACAATGTATCTTTTGTTTAACAGAGTCAATATTTTTAAGTATC